GAACTCACGACACTCGTCCTGTCTCAGCCATATGAGTGCTGGGATTATAGGTGTGCACCACTATACCCATTTTAGATGTCACTTTTGAGGTTTCAAATTATTATAACAGCTGACAAAACAGAAGATGCGGCCAGAGCTGAGGCAGGATTGTTGCTAGTGTGATGCCAGCCTGAGCTATGTAGTAAGACCTGGACCGCACAATGAGACCCTGTCAAAGACAGGCAGAAAGGAAGAAGGCAGAGAAGGAGGGAGGGAGGGAGAAAAGAGAAAAAAAAGAAACAAAGGAAGGAAGGAGGGAGGCAGCTCAACAGGTCAAGCGCTTGCCTAGTAAGTGTGAGGTTGAGTTCAATCCCCAGTATCAAAAAAAAAAAAAAAAAAAATGAATGAATGAATGAAAAAGAAAAAGAAAAAAAGAAGGAGGGAAAAAGAGAGCCAGGGATATAGCTCAGTGGCACAGCACCTATCTGGCAGTCCCAAGGTCATTGAGTTCAATCCCTAGTACCAAAAAAAAAGAGAAAGGAAGAAAGTTAATTCAAGGCCAGCCAGAGCTACACAGTGAAACTGTCTCAAAAAGACAAAAAAGAAAGAAACAGAAGGACATGGAGAAAGCCTCGAGACTGAGAAGTTTTGAGGATGTCAGAAATATTTTCACCATGCATTCCAAATACTAGAGAAACCCAATTCCTTTGTGAATAATTACAAGATGTTAAGATTAAAGTGAAAACATTTCTTTGCTGAAAAATAACACACACATGAAATGAACTTTGATTTCCCCACTGTGTTAGGAGATACATACAAAAATTCTATCCATACCTCGACACCGGCAGATGCCCTATCTTCAGAAAAATTCAGGGCCACTGTCATCAAGCTCATGCTTGGCCTTCTCCAACACAGCGTGAGATTAATGAAAGAACCCTAGTGCAGTCAAAAAGAAGGGATAATTCTGTCTTCATCCACACATGCCAGAAAGAAACCTATGAACAGTGGCATAACATACCAGCACACACACACAGCCAGGTGGCGGCTCATACTTACAATCCCAGTGCTGTGGAGGCTGAGGCAGGAGGATCAAACGTTCAAGTGCACCCTGGGCAAGTTATCACCTAGTGAAACCCACTGGAAACAAATTTTCAAAGGGCTAGGAATGTAACTTGGAGCAAAGGCCAGGGGCTCAGTCTGCAGTACGGCAAAAACAAGGCACAGTCAAGCAACTTAACCAATGTCTAATATTCTCTGTACCCACCCCACCTGATAGCTCAATACGGCCACTACTGCATCCTGTGTGCTGCTCTGAGCTATAAAGCTACAGATGTTTTCAGAAAACTCTTCTGACCTTGCTCTCTTCCTGATGAAACTAGACTCTGAAGTGTGCTGAGTTAACCCAATCAAATTTAAGGCTAATGAGTACTACGTAAAGACTTATCATGCACACTAGAAGCAATCTACCACCAGTAAAATTTCTTTCTCCTCCCTGCCAACCCCAAACTTTTTTTTTGTGAAACAGGGTCTTGTGAAGTAATTCAGGCTGACCTCAAATTTGCAGCAATCCTCCTGCCTCAGCCTCCCCAGTGCTAGGATTATAGGCATGCGCCACCATGCCTGGCTTCTACAAAAAATTTAAAATCTAAAGCCTTCATATCCCTATAATTTCAGCACTCTATAAAGGCCGAGCCAGGAAGATTGCTGCAACTTTGAGGTCAGCCAGGACCAAACAACAAGACCATCTCAAAATTTAAAATCCAGCAAAGGAGCTGGAGATACAGTTTAGTGGCAGTGACTGCCTGGCAGACTCAAGGTCATGAGTTAGATTTCCAGTACTAAAAACAAACAAGCAAATGGGGGGGGGGGGACTCCAGTAAAGGCCTCCATGCAAATAAAATAAAAGTCTTAAAAGAAAAATACTTGAGTGGAGGCAAGCATGGCACAGAGGAGTCAACTTCTGAACATCCGATTACAGAAGTAGAAGAAGCAGGATTTCAACCAGCTCTTTTAGATTCTGATAAGAGTAGAAAGGACACTCCAGAGTAAAGGGAGTAGACAGTGGTAGGTGTGGCCAGCAGCCTCAACTGACAGGAACAGAGGTGGTAAGAGCTGCAGCAAGCATCTCAGCGTGGCCCCAGAAGTTCCCACACTGCTTGCTAAGAGGGCAGGGGATGCAGTGAGGTGGCCATATCTGTAGGAGTGTTCCCACGGCCTGAGCAGCACAGGTGCCCAACCCCTCAGGCCCCACACACAGAGCAGCACTGAGAATCTCTGGCGTAGATGTAGGGAATTAACTTGGGCAACAGAAAAGAGAGTCCAGGACTGAGGAAAGGGGGGTGTTATGCCTTGTGTCCAGATGCTTTCCAAGCCTCAAGCAGAGATGGCTGGATCTAGAGTATGTAAAGCCTGAACTGAACCATGATGCAATGCTAGGATGGATGGCGCTAGGATAGGGTGTGAATGCCACCTGCCCTAAACAGCCTGGATAAAAACAGAATGGACAGGAAGATGGGGCTGGAGATTTAGCTCAGCGGCATAAGCGCCTGCCTTGCAAGCAGCCAGTCGTGAGTTCGATCCCCGGTACCGATAAAAAGGAAAAAGACAAAAAACAAAACAAAACAAGAACGGACAGGAAGAGCTGTGGTCAATCCTTGCTGTTTTGCTACCTTCTTGCCATGAACAGTTTCTCCTCTTCAATCCATCTGTGTGGGTTTTTTTTGTTTTGTTTTGTTTTGGTCTTTTTCCTTTTTATCAGTACCGGGGACCGAACTCACGACTGCCTGCTTGTAAGGCAGGCGCTTATGCCGCTGAGCTAAATCCCCAGCTCCATCCTATTCAATCCATCTGTCATATGCCACCCCACCTTGGAGCCAGCCAAATATGGACTGAAACCTCTACAAACTGTGAGTTAACAAACCTCTCCTCCTTTAACTTTGGGTGATGGGCATTTTGTCTCACAAGAAGAACAGTGAGTAACACAGGAGGCCAGTCAGGAGAACTCCCTCTGAGCAATGTTTACAGCCTCAGGAGGAGCCCTGGCAGGGGAGGAAAAGCCTGATGGAACAGTGCAGGGAGGCAGATCTGAGAACAATCTGGTTATCACAGAAGGAGCTCTCTCAAGGTCCCCAGCCTCAGTAACCAGGACAGACACAATGTAAAACAAGACGCTGCAGTCCATCCCTCTTATCTGCACCAAAAAGGCAGGACATACTATGCTGGGAGTGGTGGTGCATGCCAGTAATCTCAGCACTTAAAGGCTAAAGCAGGAGAATTTTGGTGACTTCCAAGCCAGTCTGGGCTACATAGCAACTGTTTAAAAAAAAAAAGACTTACATAAAAACCATAAGACCCCAAATTAAAGGAGTAAACTTTCTTTGTAAACACCTTTTTTTATTTACTGAAAAGTCATTATTTATCAAGCATGATAGCTGACTCTAGGATATATGGGTTTGGTTTTTTGGAGATGTGTTGTTTCTTTGAAATGTAGCCCAGGTGGGCCTTGAACGGACTCTGTAGCCCAGGTCATTCTCCTGCTTGGCCCCTGAGTGTAAGCATTACAGGCACTCACCACCTGCATTTTTTAACCTTTCTTTTTTTAACTTTTAGTTTTATTTTAAGACAAGGTCTCCCTAAATCAGCCATGCTGGGCTCAGACTTGCCACCCTCCCTGGTAGGTGGGATTACCCACGTGCCTCACTTGCCTGTCAGACATAAAATACATTAAACACAAGGAGTCCAGCCTATAGAAACTCAAAAGGCACAGTTTCAGAAAGAATTTTTGACATAAAGAAATGAAGTAAAGATCCTACGGCCTATTTAAGAATGGTTCAGTCCAAAATAACTGACATGTGAATATTTGACCTTCAAGATGCAGTGACAAGTATTTTTCTTCCTTTAAATTCGGAGTCTATGAAACAGTCGAAGTATTCTGAACGGATCTAACAGTGCACAGAATTCTAGCTTGGGGTTTTCACTGGATAATAGCCTTTTTTCCCAGAGCCACCTTTTATCAAAACCGCTTGTCCCCGCCTCCTCCTCAACCTTCTGCCATTTTTTAAACAAGCTAAACCGCAAAAGTGTAGAAACTCATTCTTAGGAACTTGGGTGGTGAGGTAAAGCAAGCAATCTCAGTGATGATGATGGCCAAGACCCATCACATTTATTGAATTGACCCCGGAGTCGCGTATCCTTCTCCCCTCTACTGGCTTAAGTCTTTAGAGCTTGCGCACAGAAAAAACTGAAAGAAAGTGAAAGGGAAGAAAAGAACCCAGCGGGTTCTGTCGTTTGGGTGGGGGGGTCTCCTCCGCTCCCAAGAGCTCCCCAGCCCTGTCATTCTGCGTACCGCACGCTGCGGGCCACACAGCAGGACGACAGAAAGATTGCAGAGGCGACCGGCTCTTCACGCTGCAGCCGGAATCCGCGGGCGCTCGCGGCCCAGGACACCTGCAACAGCCGGGCCAGGCAGGGGCTCCGAGGCCGGCGTCGATGACTTTGTGGCCTGTCACTCCGGCCCGCGGCCGTAACCTTCGCCAAACCTTGCGCCGCCCCGCCCGCCCGGCCGCGCCATAGGCCTGCGCGCCCGCCACTCAGCACCGCCGCCCCGCCCCGCGGCGCCCCCTCTGGGCCCCCGAGGACAAAGCGGGGAACTGGGGGCACTGGGCACCGACAGCCAGACCCACCGCGGCCCCCGCCCACCGCAGCCCCGGGGGTCCGTGCCACGGCGGTGCCCGCGCAGGACCGGTCCGGCCCTTTATGCGTACTCATCACCGGCGCGCGACCGCCACGGTCGCGGGCGCGGCCTCGGGGTGCACAGACGCCGGCCGCCCCGCGCCGTGCCTTACGCCGGGCCCCAGGCCGGAGCCCCAGGCCGCCCAGGTCTGCGCGGGGCTGGACGCGGCCCAGCCTCCCTCAGGCCGCCCGGAGCTCGCCGCGCGCGCGCGCCGCCCCGCCCCCTGCCCCGCGCCCCCTGTCCCGGGACGCCCCCTAGCCTGCGCCCGCGCCCGCCCCCGCCGCCTTACCTGACGAGGCTGCCGGGCACCGCGGGCGGGCGCCTCAGCTCGCGCTCGGGGCTGCGGGCGGCTGCCGAGCGCCGGACGGCCCTGGCTTGCGCCTGACGTAAAGCAGCGGCGGCCCCGGCGCCACTCGGCGGAGGGCAAGAGGCGGTGCTGCGCGGCCGCTCCTCTCCGTTACCTGGCAACTGGCCTCAGAGCCCCGCCAACCAGGCCGCGTTCCATATCCTTCCGCCCAGGCGCGGGATTACATCAGCGCGGCCCGGCCACGCCCTCCAGCCGGGCGGTGCGCGCGGGGGCGGGGACGCTCGGGGCTGCTGCGGCCCGGCCTGGCCCCCGTCCCCCACCTGTGCGCACCCGTCCTCGCGGCGTCCTGGGGTGGTGGCAGTGGGCGTGGGCGCATGAAAAGAAAGACTTAAATTTAAAAAAGGAAAGCAACCTAGCAGACGCTCTACAGCAGTGTGACACGGCATTTTAAAGTTATTAAGTAAGCACAAAAAAATTCAAAGCCGTTCTGCGAGAGCCGGAAGTGGGCGCCGAAAGCGTGCGCTAACCTTTTCATCAGTCCCCTCACGCCCACTCGCCCGCCCAGACTGCCGCCCCGACCCGGGTGACGAGGCGCACCGCGGAGAGCGCGGGGGCGCTGGGGAGCTTGGGCTTCCGGGGCGGCGAGCTCGGTCCCGGGCGGCCTGCCGGGGTCACCGTGGGGCCCCGGCCCGGCCGACTCGCTGGGTGCGCGCTGGGCGCAGCGAGGCTGCTCAGGACCGGTGCCGCGCTGTAGGGCCGCTGCGCGCAGCAGAGCGCGGCCCGGGTGCCGGATGGGGGCGCCCGGCGAGGACCGAACGCCACCCGCGCTTCCCGGGCTCTCCGCCGCTGTGCTTCCCGAGGACCCCGGGGTGAAGCGCGACTGTGCCCCGCGCACTGGAAGGGAGCCAGGGTTTCGGCGGAGACAATGATGGCCCACCGGGCTGCAGGACTCCCTGCACCCCGGCCGGGCCCTGACGCCGATTCTCTGCCCTCCTGCCCGGCTCGCTGTCACTTGCGGGGTCCGGGGTTCACCCGAGGTGAACGCGGCGCATCAGCAGCCACCGCGCGTTCCTTCGCCCGCGTCTTCCGGCGCTGTTCTCGGCCTGGCTTGGGACCATGCAGGGCGTCCCCGGAGAGCGCACTCCGGAAGGCGGCGAGGACCAATATGGGGGGCAGAGGGGTGGGCGTCTGCTGATTCTGAGGTTCCCCAGACTCCGGATTTCACACCAAGAAGACGATTCCCCAAAACGTGAGAGAAGCAGAAGATGGGCCAATATTAATATATATTTTTTTGCCACATTGACGGTAGTACCGTCGCCTGTATATTACGAAAGGACATGTGACTGCCCACGTTTGAACTAGTAACAGTGTACCTCGAGCACTGTGGACTACCGCATAGCCCCACATGGTCGCAGTTTATTGATCTTCCACTTTGTCAGGAGCTAATTTATTTGAACATATAAATATTTCCTTCTCTTGACAACAGACGTACATTGGTAAAATGTAAATATTTTTGGGCCCAGGAGTTGTTCTAAGTGAGGAGAACAATACTTTATTACATGCCACAGGGCATGTAATAAATGGGCAAGAAAGCCAGGAGATTGTCACCTGGCGTCCCTGGAAAGGACTGGTACTGAAGTGGGAAGCAGAAGAGTCATATCTGATTTGTGGGCCACAGTGTGGCATGATAAAGAGGGGCACAGGAGAGGACAACTGCTTTCTTCACAACTCTGATAAAAATAAAAAATAAAAACCACTGGCTGCATTGGTGGCACACAGGTATAATCCCGGTATGCAGGAGGATGAGGCAGGAGGGTTGCTGTGAATTCTAGGCCAGCTGGGCTCCATAGTCAGTTCAAAGTCAGCCTGAAACATGTAGTGAGCCCCTGTCTCCAAAAAAACACAAACAAGGCCAGGGACACAGCTCAGCGGCATAAGTGCTGCCTAGCAAGTGCAAGGTTCTGAGTTTGATTCCCTCTACCAAAAAAAAAAAAAACACCCAAAACACAAGCAATAGTAATAACCTGTTCTGCCACTGAATTTTTTCTGGTTTTAAATTTTGAGGGGTTGGGGATTTAGCTCAGCGGCATAAGCGCTTGCCTTGCAAGCAGGCAGTCATGAGTTCGATCCCTGGTACCGATAAAAATGAAAAAGACAAAATAAATAAATAAAATAAAATAAATTTTGAATATATTCTACATGGGCCAATGAGTTCCACAGTCGAGTTTCCTTTTATTTTTAATTTTATGTTAAAGAGAATAAAACAAAAGAGAACAGAACAAAGCAAACCAGAACAGAACATAGTCTAGTTTCTTAAAACTCAGATGTCAAAAAAAAAACCTCAGATGTCAACTAGTGAAGTATGACGCATAATCTATCATAAGCAAGACCAGTAGATTTGGAAACTATCACTGGCCTGGAAACGAGGGAAGCACACGGGAGGAGGAGGGACTGGGGACTTGGAGTTGCTCTCTGGTTCACTGCTGTCAGTTAACAGGCATCTAGGGTCTTGGTGTGGTCCATTCACTCCTCAGGGTGACAGGTGACCCCCAGTGGTACTACAAGGTCGGCCATCCTTGGCCTCCACAGCTGTATATGATGAAGGGCACAGCCTGGCTGTCCTGGGCATCAGGAGGCACTCGGTGGCCACCACCACATGGGTGTGGCTGACAGCTGCAGGGCACTTTTTATAGGCCACAAACTGGTAGAACCTGAAGGTTTCTGGGCCAAAGAGGTAAACTGAGGAGGGATTAAGAAGGATCTGGAGGTGGCAAGAAAGGTTACAGAGGATGGTGTCTAGATTACTTGCTTCCTTAGCTAAAGCCCCAGTTTTTCAGTTATTTTGATAAAAATCTCAACAGATAGACTCCCCCCAGGACCTTTGCACTTGTGGGAGTCCTCTTTCCACAGCATTCGATCTCCAGATCTTTGCATTGTGGGCTCCCTCTTCTTTTAGGCTCAGCTACAATGTCACCTACCAAGGACACCTTCCCCAGTGCCCCATTCAGAGCAGTCACCTTCTGGGACACAATTGCTGCCACCCTGTTTCGGGCCTTGCTCACAGATGTCATCTGTTTCTGGCTTGTAGGTGGTTTTCTTGTTACTAGGAGAGCAGGCAAGGCCTTGTCCAGGTCACCCCTACCCAGGGCCCACCAGGGTTGGGGGTAGCTGCCCCACCCACCACCTTGAGTAAAAGCCCCTGGGGACAGGTTACTGACTTCAACTCAGGAGAGCAACAGCTCTCTCAGCCTGGACTGAGATCCCTGGAGGGTTACAGGGGAGCCCAGAGGACTCCATGAAAGCTGAACTCCTTCTCTGCTGCACTTGCTACAAAGAAATCATTCCAGAGCCTGGATGTGGTGGTGCAGGCCTACAATCCCAGCACTCCAGCGGCTGAGGCAAGACGATCAACATAAGTTCAAGGCCAGCCTGAATTACATAGGGAGACCCTGTGTCAAACAAAACAAAACACACACACACACACACACAGAACTCTTCATTTCCATGTGCACCTGAGGTCATTTGGTTCATTTCTCCATCCGCAGAAGCACCTGCTGCAGCTCTGCAACCCTGTGCCCAACAAGGCAGTGACAGAGAAGGCATTAGCTCCGGTCCCCTGCAACCTGGATGGTCTAAAAGCCCAGTAGGGGCGGCCTGGAGAACCCAGGCTGAGAGGGATCTGTCACACACAGCAGCCAAGAGCATGTGTTCGAGCCAGGCATGGTGGCCCACGCCTGAAATCCCAGTGCTCCAGGAAGCCCAGACAGGAGGATGGCAAGTTTGAGCCCAACCTGGGGCAATTTAGCGATTTGACCAGACCCTGTCTGAAAATAAAATATAAAACAGGCTGGAGATGAGGCTCAGTACCAAAGCACTGGCTGGGCTCAGTCTGCCGCACAGCAGAAAAAAGAGAACATTCAAGCCTTCCTGCCTATCGACAGTAACAGCTCCACTCTGGGCACATGGATCAGGGCGTCCTTGACGCCCACAGTGGCCACAGGGCAGAGGTCACCTCCTCCGCAGCTGGAGTCACCACCTTGCCCATCTCGCCCCAGGCTGCAGTGCTAGGCAATGCCAAGAAGTCATCCCAGCCCCATCTTTGCAACTGGGTCACCTGGTTTCATCACAGTCCAACCTGAGTCACCTTCCAGAGGAATGATGCCTGGGTTGGATCCGCAGCCACTGAAGCCCGAGGCCTCCCTGAACACACCCTCATGCAGGAGGTGAACTTGCATTCCATTCCAGGGCAGGTAGCCACGGAGGCCAGGTGGCCTGGCCTCCAGCCTCTGTGGTCACCTTCCCTTGCTGTCCCCAGGCCTCACCCCTGCTGCAGCCCTTCTGGCAGCCCTTCTCCAGGGGCCTGGAGAGGCAAAGCCAGGCTTCAGTGCTGACCCCGAATCACTGCCCAACCTCCATGGGCTCCTGTTGCAGGGTGTATGGGACATGGGGCTGAAAAGCCCCTCCTCCCTGCAGGCCTTGTCAGGGCCAAAGCAGCAGTGTGTGGTCCCCAGGAACACAGGGAATCTAAATCCCTGCTGTCCTCCTCTCCCCTCCCCTCTTCCCTTGACCCTCCTTCCCCCTCCTCCCTGTTCCTCCTCCTCTTCTTTCTCTTCCTCTTTGGTTTTTATGAGACTGGGCACTCTTGTATATTCGACTGGCCTTGGATTCTCAGCAATCCTCCTGCCTCAGCCTCCCAAATGTTGGGGATACAGGCATGTGCCCCCACACCCAATTTAAATCTCTTCATTATCCTTCCAAGCTCATTCCAAGAGCTTACAGCTTTGCCCTTGCTGCTAAGCCTCCACCCCACTCCACGGAAAACTCTGCGACATCTCTGGCCGCCATCCAGCCTGAGGCTCAGTGGCTGGGTGGTCTGCTTCCTTCATCTGTGAACTGAGTGGGTTGAGGTTTTCAGTCTCAGGGTCCTGGTGCACGGGTGAGTGAATCCACCGTGCACTCCACAGGGGCCCAACACCCAGGAAATGCCAGCATCTGCACCAGCCTCTCTCCTGCTGCCCACCATCCTGTCTGGTCCCCTCTTCTTGTCCCTCCACTCTGTCACTCCCTAGGCTGCTGAAGAAGTCTCGGTCCGGGCCCCAGCCCCTGCCTCCTCCCCCTTCTGGGCCTAGGTTGTGGCCTCCAGGTCAGGGTCTCTTCCCCATGACTCTGTTTGAGGACGTTTCCTCCCTAGCTGCCTGGCTGCAGGCCTGGTGACTGTCCTGTGAGGCTGCTCCAGGTGTAGGGTCTGTTGCACCTGGCATTTGCTACA